GTATTTTTACAGTCTTTATTTTACAGTTAAATATATTTTTATCAAATAAAGTCTAATGTTACAATTAATCAGGGATCCCTTTAAGTCCATCCTCTTTTGCTTATCTGATTTAAACTTATTTGTCTTCCATGAACCTCCATCACACAGTTTTTCTAGCGGGGAAACTACATCAATAAAAATACGAGGGGTTGGATTTTCATTTGTGCAATAAGACAAAACAGTCTTGTTTTCAAGAGTTTTCACCTTAAAGAAATTAGTTAAAAACTGATGTTACAATACAAAGAGTTGGATGTTGTCTAATTAATTTTTATATATTAAGAAATATGTTTAAAAAAAAGGTTTATTATTAAAAAAACACACACACACAAAGTACCGAAAATTCATACTGTTATGTACCGGTACCGATTCCTTGGTACCGGATATTGGTACCGAATCAATTCAAATGTCAAAGGTACCCATCCCTAATTGTTTGTATCGGAATATTTTCACGATTTCACTTATTTATACAAATATTTACAGTTTATACTGGTCCAAATTAGCAGATGCAACTAATCAAAACTTATAATTTACTGCTCTTTACAATGCTGACAAAAAGACTATTAGGCAGAGTTAAGTACAAKGTGTTGGTTTCCCTCCCTGCTATAAAAGAGTATAAAACCTTCAGTTCAAACTTTGAACAACGTTTCTAACAGAGCTGGGTTTTCTCGGGTTTAACCRGAACCCCTTTGACCTACATTCATTGTTTTCTCTGCATATATAATCTTCAACACGTCCTGTACCTGAACCAGCTGAGCATGTGGCCAGCGTGGCCCCCGTGCCGACAGTTGTGACACCAGGTGAACCAGTTCTTGAACTGGGCCAGTTTGTTCTCCCTTGTCAGGTCCACTTTCTCATCCGACTTTCCCGTTCCTGAAGAGAAACAAACAGAACTCTCTCACGGGTCTGAATYCTAATGCTAATGTTTTCCAGCTGCTGGCGTCTCTCACCTGAGCAGCCGGAGACAGGTGTGCCCATGTTCATGAGGCAGAGGGCGCAGCGGGGCAGCGGCTTCCTGCAGCCGGGACAGCTGGTGACTTTGGACTTGGTGGGCGAGCCGCTGACCCCGTACTGACTGAAGCCTCGGCCCTGGTGAGGTATGGCCGAGCAGCTGTAGGAGATGGACTTCCCGCAGAAGTTGCAGCTCACAAACACCTGCCAAGAACACACACACACACACGAGGTCGGCTGATAAGAGGGTGAAACCAWCGTCCGCCTGCTCACCAGCTGCCAGTTTTAAAGGGATCCCTGATTAGTTGTAACATTAGACTTTATTTGATAAACATATATTTTAACTGTAAAATAAAGACTGTAAAAATACTGTTGGCTGTTTAGTTTTGTAAATTTTTAAAAGTACATTTTAACATGGCCATTTTATTTACATGCAAAGCATTCTGGGTAAATGATGACGTGGATAGGTCTGTGATGCTGCTAGCGAGCTATATCCACCCTGAAGGTTAATCTTGGACAATTTCTGACGATTGACTCTTTTAAATGAAACCAGAG